CATACTTTCAAAAATAACATTAGTAGCAATTGTTAGCAAGTACCTCCTAGCCATGGTTGTATTGATGGACTAGGTCTATCAAATTATTGTTGGTATATTAATGTTTTTCATCCAATTACAGGAGTCAGAAATACCATCAGAGGAGGGGTACTGTGACTTTAATAGTAGGCCAAATGAGAACTCTTATTGCTATCAACTTCTGCGACAACTAAATGAACAGAGAAAGAAAGGTATTCTTTGTGATGTCAGCATCGTGGTAAGCGGAAAAATCTTTAAAGCTCATAAGAACATCCTGGTTGCAGGCAGCCGTTTCTTTAAGACTTTATATTGCTTTTCAAACAAAGAAAGCCCTAACCAAAACAATACTACCCATTTAGATATTGCTGCAGTTCAAGGTTTTTCAGTTATCTTGGACTTCTTATATTCTGGTAATCTGGTGCTCACAAGCCAAAATGCCATTGAAGTGATGACAGTGGCCAGCTATCTTCAAATGAGTGAAGTTGTTCAAACTTGCCGAAATTTCATTAAAGATGCCTTAAATATAAGCATTAAATCAGAAGCTCCAGAGTCTGTAGTTGTGGACTACAATAATAGAAAACCAGTTAATAGAGATGGTCTGTCTTCATCACGGGATCAAAAAATTGCCAGTTTTTGGGCGACGCGGAATCTTACCAATTTGGCAAGTAATGTAAAAATTGAAAATGATGGTTGTAATGTCGAGGAGGGCCAAATAGAAAACTACCAAATGAATGACAGTAGTTGGGTCCAGGATGGATCTCCTGAAATGGCTGAAAATGAATCCGAAGGTCAAACAAAAGTGTTTATTTGGAATAATATGGGATCCCAGGGGATTCAAGAAACTGGCAAAACAAGGAGGAAAAACCAAACTACAAAGAGATTTATTTATAATATACCACCTAATAATGAAACAAATTTAGAAGATTGCTCAGTGATCCAGCCACCTGTTGCCTATGCAGAAGAAAATACGCTACTGATCAAGGAAGAACCAGGTAAATATTGTATATACAAAGATATTTCAGTTTTATCTGTTTTTATTCTAATTCTAGTGGGATACAATCTTAAAGTATATTTTTAAAATATATTTTAATGAAATTTTTATTATAAAAGTAATACTAAATTTGAATGTTTACAAAAGAGGGAATCACGTAACATTTGTGGTATATTTTCTTTGTCTTTTCTCTAGGCCTATATATTTAGGTTTCTTGAGTTGTATTAATAACCAGGCATTGCATATATCGTTAAGGAATATGGACTTCCCTGAATGTGTAGTTCTTTGACTTTCTTCATCTTTAACCTGTATGCTTACTATTTTATACTGAGTGCTGGCAAAGATAAAATCTTTAGTGGTAATGTCTAATCACTTCATTATTTCAGAACATTTTCGAGACCTAGTTAATGGGGATTTTTTTGGTATTTAAACATATTTAAGTATATCATAGAATTTTGCAAAATTATGAGATTACAGTATTCTAATTTGTTTAGAGCTTCTGTTCTCACCACGAATCTTATAAAAGCTGGAATAATTTGTCGATTGTCACTTTCTAATTTTAATGCACCTTTGCTTATTTAAGAGAGAGGCCTCTGAGACCTTTCTCTTTAATATATTCCCCCAAAAATGTATGCAAGAATCTCCGCATACCACATTGATGGTGGGGAATTTTTAAAAAATGGAGTTGGGGGGAGGATCATTGTTACAGAATGTAAATAGATTTGAAACTTTTCTTTACCTCTAGTTTAATCTGGCTGGGCCTGTCTTTATTTGAAATAGAAGCTCAGTGGGTTTTGAGGTTTCCTATGCATACCCTAGGCTTGTCCACCACTGTCATACATGATTTAATGTTTGTTTTGCTTCAAAGCACTGTAACTGTTTTCAGTGTCTTGATTTACATTCTGCTGGTCATCTGAGGATGGAGTACATTTTGTTAAAAAGAATCACTGGTTTTAGTTCCCAGAGGGCAAAGTGTGCCGTAGTAATTCTGTGAAATGGTTCATCTGGCTCTTTAGATTTGACTTAGTTTTCACTGGTAGAAATTTTACTTATGTAATAATATGCATGTATGTATAATGAATACTATTTACTGATCTTTTTTCTTGTACTTTATATCAAGTTCTAGCTATTAAACTTCTGAGGCAATTAAGTTAAATAAAGGATTATGGGTAGATAGACTCCTTAGCTAGCACTTTGTATTGGCTTAATTATTAATAATTAAAAGACTGAAAATTTCTCAAATTAGAACTACATTGTCTTTCTGCTGCACATGGATTATTCCTGTTTAACAGTATGGTAGGGACCCCGTAGTGTTTTTATTTTTTATTTAAAAAAATTTTTTATTTGTGTTGAGGCAGGGTCCTACTCAGTTGCCCTAGGCTGGAGTGCAGTGTTGAGATCATAGCTCACTGCAGTCTGGAATGCCTGGGCTCAAGCAGTCCTCCTGCCTCAGCGCCCCCCCACCCCCACCCCAAGTAGGTAGGACTACAGGTGTGCATGACCATACCAAGCTAATTTTTTTCATTTTTTTGTAGAGACAGGGTTTTGCTGTGTTGCCCAGGCTGGTCTGAAACTCCTGGCCTCAAGCCATTCTCTTGTTCCAGCCTCCCAAAGAGTTGGGATTACAGGTGTGAGCTACTGCACCTGGTCCCTGTAGTGTTTTAAATACACAAACACAGTTTCCTTTTAAGGAATAAGCACATCTTTTGGGTGGTTAATGGCAAAATTAATCAGAGCTAATCCCATTTTAAAAATTGGTGCCACATATAATTGGAGTGTTTTAAAAAAAAAAAAAACAAAAAACATTAATATTGAACCACAATTCATACTTTCAAAAATAACATTAGTAGCAATTGTTAGCAAGTACCTCCTAGCCATGGTTGTATTGATGGACTAGGTCTATCAAATTATTGTTGGTAGTCTAATAGCTTTCAATTTATCTTTTACATCTTATAAAAGATAATTTTATTTTTATGTCATAGATACCATTTTGGTATCTGAACTTTGCTTAACTTACAAATTTGGTTGATCAGTGATGTCCTGTGTTCCAACTTTTTAGTGCCTCTAAATCCAACTTTATTTGGTGGCAGAAAATGGGTCTTATATATAAGAGCATTATGGTTAGGGTGTCATATATAGAGCCAAGGGCTGGCAAATTTTTCCTGTAAAGGGCTGTGTAAAACAGTAAATATTTTTCAGCTTTGTTGGTCATAAAGTCAGCTACTCAATTCTGCCATTTGTAGTTTGAAAGCAGTTATAGGCAATATGTAAACAAATGACCATGGGCATGTTACAATAAAACTTTACTGCCAATCCTTGATATATGTAGCAGTGGTTCTTAATCATGGCTGCAGGTTGGGAGCATTACAAACCATAATTCTTGGATCTCTTTTTTCAGAGATTCCAATGTAGTTGGTATGCAGTTTGGTTTGGATGTTGGAATTTTTAAAAGTTCTACAGGTAAATTCTATGAATCAAGGCTGAGATCCAAGGAGATAGTGTACCGAGCCTAAACTGAGTCAGACATACTGGATTTGAAAATCAGTTGTGCTACTTAACTACACTGGACTATGATCAAATAAAGTTAAACCCTTATCCTCAGTTTCCTCATTATTAAAATATGGTGCTTATTTTATAGGATTATTATGAAAATTAAATGACAAACATAAAAGCACAAGAACTCTTATGGTCATCTCAGTCCCCTTTATAGTTGTGAAAGACTATTGAGGTTATTTTTGTATCAATTTTCCAGTGCTGTGCTTTCTACCAAAAGCTAGATGGATGGTCTTTTTAGCCTCAGCTTGATTTTTTTTTTTGGTGGTTGTTTGAATACTTAAAGACTTTCTTAAGCAGCCTATATTCCAGTGTAGGGTGACTGCGATTATTAGGTGGGAGTAATTTTATGTTGAACCAAAATTTGCTTCTCTGTAACTTCTTGAACTCTTGACCTCAAGCAGTCCTTCTACCTCGGCCTCCCAAAGTGTTAGGATTACAGGCGTGAGCCACCTCGCCAGGCCTGTAACTTCTTAATTCTGCCATGTTGAGTAGTGTAATCTAAACCTAACCTCTAATCTACTTAATAACCCTTCAAATATTAAAAGTTTTAAAAGTTCCCCCAAAGTCCTGTTTTTCTAGGCTAAATGCTGTTCTTTCCACCTTGTGATGAATACACAGAATTGACTCTTAACTGTCCAAGTTCTGACCAATATAGAACACAGTGGGCCTATCTTTACCAAGGTTAAAGCTTTTCACAAGGTCATTTGGCTAGTAAAACTGAAGAGAGGCAGGTTTCATATGTAGGACTGTTTTATATTAAAACCTTGCAATTAACCACTAAACTATTAGGTCCCTATCTTTTAAAAAATTAGTCCCTTTTTACTTTAAAGCATTTTTATGAACACCTACATCACTGACTATGCTTTAATTTTCATTGAGAAAATAATGAAAAAAATTTCAGTGAAATAAATGGTCTTGAAGTTCTATAGCAAACATCTGAAAAGTCAGTGGAGAGAGGTAAAAAAAAATGAAAAGTCATAGTGAATTGTTCAGTCTACAAACAGTGTTTAGCATATCCGGATTTGTGGATCCCTTGTAGGACCTGTAACTTCCCTGAGGTCTTCAGCCCACAGTTAACCACAGTTCTAATAATGCTGTATAATATTAATGCTGGTGTTCAGATGCCTCATAAAGATTGAGGGAAGAAGGTACACCCCACGCTGCCACGGATTTTATTCAAATTTTTTTAAATCTTGGTGAAGCTAACATCTGTTAATTTGATTTACTACTGGGATTCACTTCAAATCATTTCTCATGAGAATACTTGAAGTCAAACTCAGGCAAGTCAGAAAATTCTGTCTTGTTTTATTGTTGGGGTTGTAAAATAGTTAAAACTGTCAGCAAAAATGGAAGTCTGGATAAACAAATAGAAGAAAAAATGGTGTTATTAATGGGTTACTCTAATAATGTAAAAATTTCAAATTCTTGTCTTGCTGAATTATGATAAGAAAACATTACATTTTAGCCAAATAAAGAAGATAAAAATGAGATTAGAAATTAAATTGTAGAAATACAAATAACCAGTGCCTAAATTGGTTTACAAAATATATTCACACATGTTGCATTTAATTAGAACAAGTTAAGGATAATCCTGTTTTTTGATCTCTTAATGCTGTAGGCTGATGGAACAGTTTTTCTGCGCCTAGATTTTTATGTTTACACCAGTCAAACTTAAAAGTTTTACCTGTTGTAAATAGTTGTACTCTGTTGCATGCATACGTAATTCTTTTTGAACAAAGATCTGGAAGTGATAAAACAAACTAGCCAAATACAAGTAATAAATTGTGGACTTAAATATGCTTGCTTTAATTAAGCTTTTAATTGGCTCTAAGATGCAAAGCAGCCTTACTCAAAAGGGAAAAACAGACCAGTTCTACAGGATGACAAACTTTTCCTGGTACTGACTTCTGAAAGGACTTTCTCCAGTGGGCTTTTATATAGTTGACAACAAGTAGTATAATGGACATTTTCCTTAAGTATTTTCTAGTAAAATGCAGCTGTAGATTATTATTTATTTTTTGTCATTGACAAAAGCTGACTTTTTTTCTTAATGCCATATAGGTACTCAGATGTGAGGTGACTTTAGTTGACTAAAAGATAAAAATTTTAGAGTTCTTTTAAATAACCTAAAAGTTTCTTTCTCTCTTCTAGGCTTCTGATGGGAAAATAGTTTTACAGCATTTGTAAGTTTGTATTAATCCTTAGTTGAACTCAGGTTTAAGCTTTATATTTTCGATTTGTGTAATTGTCTTTTGGTTAAAAGCATATATGTTGGTATTTAGAAAACAATTTTTAGAAAAGAATTCAAATTAGATAGCTTTAAGGAATCCTAATGAGGCATATTTGAAGTAATGAATTATTCTAAATCACAGTAAACTCTATAGAGTTATCTACTAACCAGCATTTCTGCTCTTGTATGTTTTGGGTGATCATTTGTATTCATTA